CACCCCAAACTGAAACTCTGTACCCATTAAACTCTATTCCCTCCCTAGAGCCCCTGGTAACCACCAATCTACTTAAGGTCTCTACAGATTTGACTATTCTAGGTACCTCGTGTAAGTGGAATCATACAATATTTGTCCTTCCATATCTAATTTATTTCACTTACCATAATGTTTTCAAGGTTCATCCATGTTGTGATAAACTGGTTTGTTTGTTTGTTTTAGTCCTCACCTGAGGATACTTTTTTAAAATTGATTTTTAGAGAGAGAGGGAGGGTGAGAGAAAGAGAAACATCGATGTGAAAGAGAAACATCAATCGCTGCCTCTCGCATGTGCCCAGACCAAGGATCAAACCCGCAACCTAGGTATGTGCCCTGCTTGGGAATTGAATCTGCAACCCTTTGGTGTATAGGACATGCTGCAACCAACTGAGCCACCTGGCCATGGCTAAACTGGGTTTTAAAGAGACATTTATTTTGCTCCACAAAGTCCTCTATTCAAAGTAAACTTCAAGCAGCTGTTGGTTTTAGGACTACAGAAAGTTGTCCCTGCCTGAGAGATTGCAGATTTCTCAATGCAAACTTCCAAATATAAAGAGTGGCTCAGGGAAAAGCAAACAGAAATGTCGTGTCACTCCTTTATACAGGAAGTATTATGCTGTTCTGAGTTAATTACAACAGCGAAAAATGAAATACCAATTCATTTCTCCCAACAACATTGCATATGCTCCATGCACCTCCCAAAACCCGACACTCCTGAAAGGGTTTATTTCCCCAGAGATTGTCTAAGGTATTTGAGGAATCTTTTTCTCTCTTATGGAAGAATTTGTTCATGCTCAGAATAGAGAAAAGGTTAGGAAGACAGCCAGAAAAAGCAGAAAACATGTAAGCTCTTTCCTCTAACTTCACTGAAGAACACAGTTGGAGCAATAAAATGGCCCAGTGCATTTCTCCCTTCTGGAAGGCTTCCCTGTTTGAGGCCATCAGGTCTTTTTTTTTTTTTTTTTATCATTACATGTGAAGTTCCTCTTCAGCTACATGGGCTGCCTCAAGGGTATCTGCACAGAGCAGAAATCCTCTGAGAAGCCTAAAGATACATAGGGTAAAAACAGCCATAGGAATAAAGATAAGAACAAAACCGAGGTATGAAAGGAAATGGGAGCTGGTTTACTATCAGGACCTGAATGTTCAGAATATTTAAAATGTTTGCTTAAGGATAGTCTGGGATCGGCAAAATAGATGATAGCCACATGACTTGTTTAAGAAGCAAATAAAAAATTGAACACTTCTGAAGAATAAATGAAAAAATAGAAAGATGAATTGTATAGGTTTTTTGTTTGTTTGTTTGTTTTGTCCTCACCTGAGGACATTTTTCCATTTTTTGTTCAGACAGAGTAGGAAGGAGAGAGAGGTAGAGAGAGAGAAACATCGACATGAAAGGGACACATCGAGTGGCTGCCTCCCATAGGACTCAACTGGGGCCGGGGACAAACTGAAACCGAGGTACGTGCCCTTAGCGGGAACTGGACCACGGGCCGATGCTCCAACCGCTGAGCCAAACCGACCAGGGCGAATTGAATAGTTTTTAAAGAGCAATGCTTATACCTAGAAAACATCATTTGTTTTTCAAACTTGAGGTGCGCAGACTTACTTTCTTACCAGTGCATTGATATTTATGGTACTTATGGATATTCCGGGTACTAAAATATAGTTGATTTAGGCATTTTCTTTGTCTTGTAAGTGTTCTAAGTGCATGCATGTATGTACACAGGTGCATGCACACACACACACACACACCATATATATATATATATATATAAAAAACCTTAGACTCTAGATTTGTTAGGTGAGAAAAGTTTTAACCTGCCCTTAAGTAAAGCTTAAAAAGAAAAACTCGAGAGAATGCCTATATATCAACCATATAAATACAAATGAAGAATTTCAACCAAAAGTAGCATCTTGTGTTACTGTACAGTACCTGCATAATGGCCTTCATATCCAGCGTTCTTCAGTCTATTTTACATAATTTTGTACACTGTCCTAGTGGAGTAGAAGATAAAGGACACCGAGAAACTGTGCAACAAAAGGACTTCCTTCTTATTTCCCTGTAGACACTAGTATGAAAAGACATAAAAGGTAACACGTTTTTTATAAGCAATGAAAACTTTTTTGAGAGGAGGGGAAAAAGTAGGCTTGTACCTAGAACCTAGTAGGTTTTGAATCTTGTTTAAAATTCCTCAGGGCTCCTAGTGGTTTGTGAGCCCCTGGAAGGTGTTAGGGTACTGAATAGAGGATTGGTTCCAGTCTTCAAAACCCAGTACATTTCCATTTCTATTTTATATCAATTAATAAACAATTGCATATATGTTTAATGCACACACATACGTGTGTGTGTGTGTGTGTGTGTGTTTCACTTCAAAATGAAAGGGTTTGAGAACTTGAAAGCACACACAGAGAACGTGTGAGGGGCAGTGGGTGGAGACCATTTGAGGGTATTCCCCAGCTCAGTTTCCAGATTGGCTTATCTCACAGTTGACTATTAATAGCAGCCAGGATGACTTTTAACCATTTGACTATTTTCCATTACTTCTATTTTTCTCCACTTATTGTTTAATTTATACCTTTATCTGTTGCTTTAAAGACAAGAAGCAAAAAGAACATGGATATTTAAAGATGAGCTAAGAGAAGCTTTCAAATGACAATAGTTCTACATTTTTTCCTCAGATACTATAGACCAGATTCTTAAGTTACATTTGTCTGATCAAAATTCTTGTATCACATAACAAAATGACTCCTGTACATGAAAAATCAATAAAAAGTAAATACAATGGCCATTATATCCAAATTGGCTTTTTAAAAATTGGGGATGAAAACAACCTATTGTTTGATGGAGTGGGGGAGGCGAAATCTGCTTGCTGAACTCAGTCTGAGAGTTTTTACTTATACAAAATTCTAAGAATAAGCCAGTTGGATGCCCAGCTGGTGTGGTTCAGTGGTTGAGCGTCGACCCGTGCACCACGAGGTCGCCAGTTCCATTCCCGGTCAGGGCACATGCCCAGGTTGTGGGCCAAATACGCAGTGAGGGGCATGCAGGAGGCAGCCAGTCAATGTTCTTTCTCATCGGTGTTTCTCTCTCTCTCTCCCTCTCCCTTCCTCTCTCTAAAATCAATAAAGAAAAAAGAAAAAAAAGAATAAGCCCGTTGGTTATTTAAAATGCAAACCAAATATTAGCTCATGAAAACATTTTTTGTATCTTTGGATATAATAAAGTGCAGTTAAATTTCAATTATATATATTCTGTCTTTAAACCAGACATGGGATAAAAATTATTCTTGAACGTGTTTATCAAGAAATCTGCTTGCCCTGGCTGGTGTGGTTCATCCCATGCACCGAAGGTCTCAGGTTCGATTCCCTATCAGGGCACATACCCAGGTTTCAGCTTCTATTCCCAGTCAGGGTGTATTTGTGAGGCAACTGATCTCTACTTCTCTCTCACATCAATGTTTCTCTCTCTCTCTCATTCTCCCTTCCTCTCTCTCTAAAATCAATAAAAACATATCCTTGAGCAAGGATTAAAAAGAAAAGAAAAGAAATCTGCTTTCTCTCACACCATTTAAAATAAATAGCATGTGGCTACAGTCAGATGGAAAAAGTAAAAATTTATCATGGGGTAAATAGATATGAATAATATTAAAGACCATATTTAATATGAATCTTTAATAATATGATGATTTATAATAAAATGTTTTACTTATGTATCCTTTATTATGCCAAATAGAAAACATCAAGATGATTAAAGGAGTTTGCAAATGCATGTGTTATGATGAAAGGGATTTGGATTGGACCGTGGGGATAATCTTTTGTAATCTGTCACCTGAACCATTTTTATCACACAAGACTGTAAGAATAAAAATGTGCATTATTAGTAAAATAAATCTTTCTTTACTATTTCTCAAGTATTACCCTTATTTAACTACATAGGAAAGAAAACATTTCACCCTATTTAATCTATTTTAGGATGCACTTTCTTGGTTCATCTTAAATCAGGATGCAACTTACAGTCATCCTCCATGCTGGACTTGTGACGGCAGTTACCACTGCACGTGTATGAACAGCAAACGAGCCAGCATCAGAACTTGCAAAATGGGCGTCAGTGACTGGGAAGAATCTTGCAAAGACAGAAGAGCTTTTTTTTTCACCTTTGGAACTAAACAGTTGTGGAAAGGGAGGGAGGGAATCAGACATGTCTAGCAACATTCTTTAAGCAGGAGTCAAAAGTAGGCTAACTCTATGTAATTGCAAGGTCAGCTTAGAAGCTCAGCACCAATGACTCTTAGTTCTTTAATGGATTATTTTAAGACATGCTGTGTCATCAGACTCCTGATATAGAGAACGATACCATGGATAAACATAGACATCAAAGAGTCTGAGTCAAATGCTGAATGTGAAAAAGTTTCAGGAGCACCTAAACCAATTCCTTTCACTTAATGTGCCAGTTTTTGCATGTACAAGTATGACATATGATAAAACAATCTGTCTACTTAAATGTATAACAGCTCTTTCAATATGTATAAAAGAAACATTCTGAGTGTGTCATGGTTGAACTTGCAGGTTTTTTGTTTCTTAATAGCACATACAATTGTGGTGCCTCTTACAATGATAGCATCTTTGAATCAGTGAAAGAGAGTATTCAGTTTGGAGGTTTAGGGCATTCCCCTCCTCTCATAAAATGGATAGTTAATGAGCTTGCACGAGCTAAAATGTTTACTATCTATACTGTGTTCCTAAATGCTAGTTGCATTCCATTTTAACAAAAAGCTGCAGGCTGTTCTTATTTCTGGTTGACAAAGGGACTTCGATTTTTTTTGTCCAAGATTTTTAATAGCATGTGGCCTCTATTTAACTGTCCTCAAACTATTTCTTGGGAGGAGGAATGCTGGTGGTTCAGTTTTACATGTACGGTTTCCTTGAAAGTGTCAGTTGACTCTCATTTCTTTTGCTAGGGGTGCAGGCTGCATCTTTATTGAAATGCTCCAGGGTCAACCTTTGTTTCCTGGGGTTTCCAGCATCTTTGAACAGCTGGAGAAGATCTGGGAGGTAAGAGAAAAATTCCTCTTAGGAATAAGAAATATCTGCATTTCAAACTTGAAATCAAATTTGCCTTTGAGACAAATGACACAGTCCATCTGCTTTGAGATATTAAGTTATATATTAAGGTTATGGAGACTGTGGTATTTGGTACAAGTATAATAAGTACCTTGGGAATGAGTGGTCAGGAAAAACTCTGTTGTCCTGTAAGATCCCATGAGTCCAACTGTTCCCAACTATTGTCTCGATCTCCCAGGGCAATTTCTGCCATTACTACTTATGCACATTCCTGCTTTGCCAACCCCAGCTCTAGTTCTACTATATGCTTGGCCCTGAATCTTTGTCAACCAAAGACAAGACACTATGTTGTCATAGAACGCCAATAAAAACCAAGGCTTACCATGCTAGTGTGAGAGAAATACACTATTTATCATGATCCCCCAAAACCGAATTCCTAAGATGTCAAGGTGCTTTTGTGTGTGTGGTTCCATTTCTTTTATTTTTAATTTTATTTTTCACTTACAGTTTACATTTCATATTATTTTGTATTAGTTTCACGTGTACAGCATAGTGTTAAACATCATATACTTCATTAAGTGTTCTCCAGTACCCACCTGGCACCATAGTTATTACAATATTATTGACTCTATTCCCTATGCTGTACTTTACATCCCATGACGATTTTGTAACTACCAAATTGTACTTCTTAAAATCTTCATTTTTTTCACCCAGTCCTCCAAAGCCCCTCACCTCTGGCAACTGTCAGTCTGTTCTCTGTATCTATTACTCTGTTTCAGTTTTTTTTGTTGTTGTTGTTCGTTTATTTTGTTCTTTAGATTCCACATGCAAATGAAACCATATGGTATTTGTCTTTCTGTAACTGACTTATGTCACTTAGCATAATGCCCTCTCAGTCATCCATGCTGTCATAAATGGTAAGATTTTATTCTTTTTTATGGCCAAGTAATATTCCATTGCATATATGTACCACCACTTTTTATCTACTTGCCTATTGATGGACACTTGGGTTGCTTCCGTATCTTAGCCATTGTAAATAACACTGCAGCAAACATAGGGGTGCATATATTCTTTCAAATTAGTGTTTTGGGTTTCTTCAGATACCCAGAAGTGGAATCACCAAGTCATAAGGCAGTTCTATTTTTAATTTTTTGAGGAACCTCCATACTGTTTTCCACAGTGGCTGCACCAATCTGCAATTGAACCAACAGTGCACAAGGGTTCCCTTTTCTCCACATCCTTGCGAACACTTCTTTGATGGTAGCCATTCCAACAGGTGTGAGGTGGTATCTCACTGTGGTTTTAACTTGCATTTGTCTGATGATTAGTGATGTTGAACTCTTCATGTTTCTGTTGACCATCTGTGTTTACTATTTGGAGAAGTATATATTCAGGCCTCTGCCTGTTTTTTAATTGGATTGCTTGTTCTTTTTGGTGTTGAGTTGTATGAGTTCTTTATAGATTTTGGATATTAACCCCTTATTAGATTGTATCATTGGTGAATATCTTCTCCTTTTCAGTAGGTTGTCTTTTCATTTTGTTGATGGTTTCCTTTGCTGTGCAAAAACTTTTTATGTGGATGTGGTCCCATTTGTTTGGTTTTTCTTTTGTTTCCCTTGGTTCCATTTCTTTATTCATTATTTATCCTTGCTTCATTTACACCATGATGTACTTCATCTTTATCTCCCTTGTAGCTTATATGCCATGTTAGTCTCTGTCTATTTCTCTTTTTTGGTGATTTTTTAAAATTATAAAATATACGAAAAATTTACCATTCTAACCACTTCAAGTATACAGTTCATAGGCAATAAATACATTCACATTGTTGTGCAATTATCACCACCATTAATTTCCAAGTCTTTCTCATCAACCCAGACAGAAGAACAATAACTCCCCATCTTCCCTCCCCCGCTTCTGGTAACCTCTCATCTACTTTCTTTCTTTCTCTATAAATATGCCTAGTCTAGGTGGAATCATACAGTATTTTTCCTCTGTGTCTGCCTTATTTCACTTAGCATAATATTTTCAAGATTCCTCCATTTTGTAGCACGTGTCAAAGTGCCTTAAACTCAGGTGGTTTTGGTTTTTATCACTTGCTCTCCTGCTCCCTTTCAAGTTTGTTGCTTCAAGCAGGCATGGGGAGCATTCTCGCTCACAGCCTCCAGGGCTGGTGTCTGGGGAATACTGCCAAAGAGCGGTGCTGTGTGCAGGTGAAGAGACGTGTCTTCCCTCAAACTCCTTTATACTCTTGATTTAGTAGCCCCCCATATTTGCCTGTCAGAAATTATATAACATTTTTATTTTTAAATTGCATGCCCACTGTGAGTTCTTAATTAATTAATTTTTTAAAGTAGAATTTATTTTTAATATACACATAAAAGTGAAGAAAACTGTTTAGGGGACATTGGGGAAAAAGGAAAAGAGTCAGTTGTCAGTGTATGGGAAGTCATTGGCTCACCTCTATGAAGAAATTCTATGCAAATCAGTCTGGAGCTATAAATTCTAGTGCAATGACCTAGAAGACATTGTCTTTTGGCTAAAATAGAATGTGCTTTGAAAAATAAGGACATTTTATAAAGATTAATTACTGCCATTAAAACTTTCTTTTGGAAACATGGGGCTTATTGTGGGGCAACATTGGGAAAATTGATTTTTGTTTTTCCTCCAAACTCCTCTGCAAGACAGATAAATGCTATTTATCTTCAAACAATATCATCAGATGTCATAACATCATCTAAGCTGGAGGCAGCCTAACATAATAATAGCTTTAAAGTCATTAGACCTGGGTTTGAATTCTAGCCATTTTTTAACTAAACAAATGTGGACAAGCTATATAGTTCCTCTGAACTTCAGTTTTCTCGTTTGTTAAATGAGGCTAGTGATAATGACTTTCTAACCTTGCTGTCAGAATTCCATAAGATCAAATGCATAACAAGTTCCATGTGCCAAAAATGTTCAATAAATATCTGCTGCCTTTCTCTCTCAGATAAATTATTACTGTAGAGATGTTTCAATAACCTAAGTGCTAAAAAGCATTTCCTGATATATAACCTAATAGTTCTTCCACAAGTACTTCTCATCTACAACAGAGAAAGCACAATTAGCTCTGCCTAAACCTGACCCTGCAATGACCTTTACACATTTGAAGAGTATTTCCTGGTCATTTAATCAGGAAACAACACTTACTGGACATTCACCATATAAAATACTCTATAAGGTCTTGTAAGAAGTAACAAGGCATGGAACAAAGGGAGGAATAAGAAAAATGAATCATCTGTGCTTTCGAGTGTTGTTCAGTCTAGCTGGGATAAAGGGTGAAGTGTAAGTAAATATATATATGTGAAACAAACATAAATTGTGTATATATGTGAGAGAATGTATGTGTAGATAATATATTAAAATATTAGAATATTTGAAAAGTTGTGTATAAACTGATTTTTTTATATTACATACTATCTTTAAATAATAATGTTCTTAAAAGCAATCATTTTACAGTTCTTTGCATTTAGCTCGGCACTTAGAAATCATGAAACAGAAAGAATGAGCTAGACATTTCCCAGGACCTGATGGCTCTCTCGTTATTGGTTCAAGTTTCCAGGACTGGCCTTGCTGACTGACACTGGCCATCTGAAGATGTTTTAGGTAATTCAGTAAGTGAAAGAATTTGGACTTGAACTTGGACATAAAGCACCAAAACATGAGTGATGCAGCAAAAACAAACATGTCTTACAAATCAGTCTAATAGTCCCTACCAGAAAGCCACATTCATGTCTACCATTGTCTTTATTGCACTGCAATCAATCAAAGGGTCTTTATTTTGACATTTGTGAAAACTCATTACAAATTTAAAACAAGTAAACATATTAGAAATAACACTGGTCTACAGTCAAAAGACATGAGTTCTGAACCCACCTCTAACTTCAAGTTATGAGTGAGAGCAATTCACATAACGGACCTCCCTGGGTTTCCAGCATCTTAAATGTTACAGATGCTCCCCCCAATAAACCCACCGTAAGTTGAAAATATTGTAAGTCAAACCATAGTGAGTCGAGGACCACCTGTATTTGATTTTCTGACTCTACTAATTGTGACTTCTTTGAACAAAGTGTAAAGAGAATATTGTAGCTCCCATCATTTAAAATCATAATATTCTTCTCTGTTTATCTGATTTCCCCACCCCCAAGTAGTTTTTTCTCAAGTTCATCAACTTGCATAGCTCATTGTTGACTTTTGATCTGTACTGATCAAGTATCTAGTTCCATATCGCTTAGCCATACTTTCTGGGCACCAGGAGGTCAGATTCATTACATCTGATTTCCCTCCTGGTCCTGTCAAAGGAGGACCATAGTTTTGTTATCATATCTGTAGTTCCGCACTCTGAGGACAAAGTGGAAAAGTTACTCCATTCAGCAATGTGTCATCTTTAATACTACTACATTTCAAGCAGGTTAGAGATGTAAACATTACAAACAACAGTTCCTGAATCTGTGTTTTACTAAACATGATCTACATGGATGAAATTAGAAAATCTATTTCCAGTCTATAATATTGGATGTAGGAATGGCTTCTTTGAAAGCAATGTATCCATTCTAAATCTCCCCAAGTCTAAACACAGCCTTCCTTTATATTTATCCTGAGATCTCACTCTTAGGAATAAAGTCATAATGAGAAGTCCTGAATTTTTCTTTTACCATCTTTTTAAAATGTGTGTGTTCACATCTAAATAGCTGTCACTGTTTTTAAAATCTTTCAATCAATATTTTTTAGCAAATAATCCCAGCTGTGGTTCTAAAATCAGAATGAAACAAACTATGCAGACCTTCAGCCATTCATCAAAATACCTTCAGTTTCCATTCCAACAAAGGCAGAAAACAGCCCCTGCAGCCCACTGTGTTTTCAAATATAGCGCTCACTAGCTGCCCTTTTAAGAGCCTTTAGGGAGGGTGTAAATCAACACTTTTTGGTTTTCAGTTTCCCAGACAGTGAAGTCCAGATTTAGTAATTCTCTCAAGTGAAAACAAATTCAATAACTTTCAAATAGAAACTCAGCATCACATTTCCAAATAAAGGATACTGAATTTTGTTGAAACTTTTAAAATCTCAAGCTTATAGCTTTTAGCGTAATATTTTTAAGTTATTGGTATCTATTTTGATTTAATTAAATGTAATGCAAAATAACCAACAATTCTGGAAACTTCCACCTCAGAAAAATATGGATGCGGTCATTATCTATTTCTCCTATTGCTTTCTCTTAATCAGTTTTGCTCTCTTTTTCTTATACTTTGCCAGTTAACAGAAGACGTATGGGGACACGTGAGTCACAGCCACGTGTTTACATGTACATTTGTGCCAATACATATAAAATAGTAGGTTAAAACAGGAATTAGCTACCCATCCTCTGGTCCTCTCCTCCAAAAGAAGAATTAATACAGTTGGTTTTTCAAAATGGATTCCAGGGTTCTCAGTGTTGCTGGGGTTCAGGGTCGTTGATAGGAAAAGTCTATTATCCTCTCAGTGGCTTTTCAGTTTGTTTAAGGAATGAGTCAAAGAAAGATTTTACTGTGTGGCATGATTTTTTTTATTATATGAGGGAGAATAGCACTTCAGTGTCTTTTGTTTGAGGACAAGCTTAACAGGCACCACAAAGTATACTTTTCAGCCAGAGTCCTAGTCAGCAAGTTGGCACGTATTAATATTCTGGATTCCTCATTGATTATTGTCTGTCAATTGCTGAACAGTTGACTTCCTGCCATAACAGTTGGGCTGCCATTTCTATCCATGGTTTAGAAATGGATACTGTAGTCCTGGCCAGTTTGGATCAGCGTTTAGAGCATCAGCCCACGGACCAAAGGGTCTCAGATTCAATTCCCAGTCAGGGGCACATACTTGGGTTGCAAGTTCAATCCCCAGCCCCAGTCAGGGCGTGTGCAGGAGGCAACCAATTGATGTGTCTCTCTCATACCAGTGTTTCTCTCTTTCTCCCTCCCTTCCACTCTATCTAAAAATCAATGAAAAAAATATCCTCAAGGGAGGATTAACAACAATAACAACAAAATGAATACTGTAGACTCTTTCTACAAGAGATGCTTCTAAGAAGAATATTATATTATAGTGGTGTAATTAAAGTTACTAGTATTTTACCAATATTTTATTTTAAAAACTATTATTCTAGCTCCCAGATATAACTGACATTGGGCTTTTATGATTATCTTTTTTTTTTTTTCTTTTTTTTATGGTAAGGTGGTACCTATAAGGGAACTCACAGAAACGGCGCCAGCCAAAATCTGAAATGTTTTGACTTTGTACTCCAGAAGACTTTTATTTTCCTATTAATTCAAAACTAGACCTTCAATTTGGTAATCCAAAGTATAAATGAGGTCTTCTTCAGTGATGCTGTTACTATTCTTATCCCCCAGCTAAAAACCAAATACCATATTTCAAGCTGTTGGGCCATAGGAAAAAAACAAACAGATGAGATGAATTTGGTAGAAAGGACTAGAGTTAGGTTTGGGATCATTTTTAGCCAACATTCCACTGCCTAAGGTCAGTAATCTGAGCCCCTTTTAATTTGAGCACATTGTGGAACAGCTGAATGCCCAGGCTGAGGCATAATGTAAGCCATCAACTGCCTCCTGTTAAATATAAATATATAGTTCTCTGATGTAAGACAAAGGGACATTACTCCTGCTTCTTTATATCCCAACTCCCAACATAGCATCCTAATGTATGTTGGTCATGCAATAGATATTTAATGATGAGAATGTGACTTTAAGCAAGGCTGTAGGATCTGCCTCAGAACAAGTAAGTTAATGAAGACCTAGCTCAGGACCTAAAATAAGATTCTCCAGAGAAACAAAACCAATAGGAGATACAGAGATATATAAGAGGAGATTTATTATGGGAACTGGCTCATGCAATCATGAAGGCTGAGACATGCCGTTTGCAAACTGGAGAACCAGAAAAGCCAGTGGTATAATTTAGTCTGAGGCCAAAAGTCTGAGAACTAAGGGGACTGCTGGTGGTAAATCCCAGAGTCTGAAGGCCCGAGAATCAGGAGCACTGGTGTCTGGAGGCAGGAGAAAATGGACATCCCAGCTCAAGAAGAGAGAGAGAATACGGCCTTCTTCCACCTTTTTGTTTCTCTTTGAGCCCACAGTGGATTGGATGATGCTTGCCCATATTGATGAGGATAGGTCTCTTTACTCAGTCTACTGATTCAAATGCTAATCTCTGCCCAAAACACCCTCCCAGACACACTCAGAAATAATGTTTTACCAGCTATCTGTGCATCCCTTGGCCCAGTCAAGTTGACACCTAAAATTAACCATTGCAGGACCATAGGAATATGCTAGATTTGCCCATGAAACTACAAATATGGAAATACAAAAGTTTCTTTCTTGTATACCTCAGCTGGTGTAATGTGACCTGTGTCTAATTCTTGCCTGTTCCTCCCTGATCTGTCCTTCATACCTGCTCCGTCTGCCTCATGCCCCCCCTCATTTTTCTCTGTCTTTCTTTGGCTTTGTATAGGTGTTGGGAGTCCCTACGGAGGATACCTGGCCTGGAGTTTCCAAACTACCTAACTACAATCCAGGTAATATATGATTTGAGCTTCTGAATGCTCTGAGAATTAGCAGTGTGAGAATTAGCTACACAGTGTGTTTTTTGTTGTTAACAGCGAAGATAGGTCTAGATAAATTTTTAGGTTCTTATATTTCCTGACTAATCCTTTTACAAGAAAAACAGTGAAATAGTAGTTGAGATTAGGTTAGTTCTCAAACTCTGCAAAACACAAGTCGCAAACTGAATAAGAATTTGAAGTGACTGTTACTGTGGATTCCACAACCATTTCCAAATATACAATATCTCAAGGAGACAACTCAAAAGATAGTATCACTCTTGAGCCCTATGACTGCCACTGATTTCTATGCTACTACAACAGAGGGGAAGTAGAGGCGCATTAGGCTCATTAGTGTCTAGATTACCCAAGAGTTTACCCACTTGGTCATTTTCTGGCACACATTTAGTCCTCCAAGACTGGGCTCCTAGGGTGGATTTGGATGTGTTGGAGGTGTTGTCCACAGGGGAAGTCTTTGAGAAATGGCCCCAAGGCCGTGGCAGAAGGAACAGATTAACCAGTTGTCACATCAAGGACTGAGACAAGCAGTGAGCCATAGGATGAAGGGGTGTATCAGGTGGCTGGAGAAGCAAGAATGGCCAAACCAAAGCTGGACTCCTGCTAGCAGGATGAAAGGAAAGATAGAGATGCACAGATAAGGACAAGATCAGGGTGGATGTGGCCCAAGTCACATTTTCTAGTCTTTATATTCTTACATTGTCCCATGACTAAAAATGGATCCTTTTCCAAATTGTTGTCATTACTGACATTGGCATGAGATTATCCTGCAAGGGCTTCATGAGAGCAAGAAACTGTAGAGGGATTAAAAAGGTGATTAAAAAGAAAAACAAAAGGCATAGGAAGCTAGGGATTTTTTTTCTTTTATTCTGCATCATCTAATATTTTTGCTCAAGCAGTTATACATAAGAATCTTGAACTAACCAGGATTATGGAAACCTTATAGCAAGCTAAAGACAAGCTGTAAAGTCATTTCAGCTTTATGTAAATGATCATATGCATTGCTAAATGGCTTTAGGATCACTTACAAATAGTTTACCATTCTAACTATTTTGCTAGTTTAGCACCTGAGAAAAATGCTGCTGTCTGGCCCTTTGGTCTGAGATGGAGAGAAAAAAAGAACAGGCTTCTTGTGGAGACCGTGATCCAGTCTGCACTAGGTCCTATGTCCTGTTGCCATGGTTTCTAGGAGAGTCTGGCTTTCATCTTTTCCTGCCCCGCCCATACCTCAGCTCACCCTGCCTATGCTCTCTTCTCCAGGTGCAAATGGGACCCCCCCCCCCCCAGCTTTCTAAAATGGATGCAAGCAGAAGTTTAGGGTCATGATGGGTTGTAGAAAACAAGTCAGATAATGTTAATATAAAGCTGCCATGGTGAGCATATGCTGTTCCTCCAAACTTCAAACATTTGGGTTTCAGGTTGGTTCAGGCAATAAACAGTTTCTTAGTACTGAATGCCTTGTTGAGAACAATGATAGAAACTTGGCAAAAATGCTCCCCTGCCAGATTCTGTACTAAATAAGGTAACTGGATTCCAATAAAACAGTGAGAAATATGTTACATTTTTCATTTTGCTGTCGTTTCAAAGTAATGTGCAATTTTTTATTTATGAAGAGAAATCTCTAGGTACAACATCAATAGGGTTCACACTTTGCATTGTACTTCTGGTAAGCATTCAATTTAATTCCAATGAGTCAAAAAATTTTGAGCAGCTGCTACTCACCAGGCTCTGTGCTATGTGCTGGGTCTGCACAGAAGATGATGGTCTGTTCTTGCATGTTGAAGAGCTGGGGTTTGTATTTGTTCACTCACACCCTTTCACCAGGTCTTCTTACCAGGGATGCGAGTGCTGGTTTGTGCGCCCTGCCTCCATGAGCTGAGCAGTGTGCAGCTGTGGGCTAAGCTTGCGGAAGGAAGGGAGTTATAGCCTCAGCCACAGCAAAGATGTAAACCCATCTTTGTAAATCTTAAAAGTCCAGCCTATCTTAGGCCTGGGGTCAGTACTGTTGATAACTCAATCACAAGGACTATGTTTTAAAAGAGTCATTGCCTCTGTGTTCCAGGGATATCCCCTGTGGGGATCAAGAAGTCTTTCTGAGTTACCTTCCTCACCCACCCCCACCCCGAGCTGCTGCTGCTGCTTCCGTGCCCTTGAACTCCAGTGATTAAGGGAGCAGAAGAGGGGCTGGGACCCTGAAAAATGGCCCATTCTGGATGAGATTTCCATTCTTTTTCTTTTCATTCTAAGTAGTAGTAAGAACTCCAAATTTTGAATTCAGCTGATAACAGCAGTTTGAGGGAGCCAAAGAGCTCAGAACTTGGGAGAGTCATCCAGTGTCCATCTGTGCCCACTCTGCCATTTCCAGGCCTTGTCTGGACTCTGTCTAGGAGGACAACACGGTTTCTCTTTGCACGGGTTAAAACAAAACAAAACCTGACCCTGCTGGACAGATTTGTCTGAGCAATTACCTGTTCTCTTGGAGCACTGGTGAGCAGGGATGTAGGTTTTCTAGCCATCATTTCAGACTGTTGTGCCTGATTAAATCTGGGCAATGCAAGAGAGGTGTATAATTTTAGAGACTGGTCTTTTTTTCTTCCTTCCTTCCTTTCTCCTGTTTCTTCCTTCCTTCCTTTTTTTCCTTCCTTCTTTCCTTCCTTCCTTCCTTCCTTCCTTCCTTCCTTCCTTCCTTCCTTCCTTCCTTCCTTCCTTCCTTCCTTCCTTCCCTCCCACCCCCCATTTTAAGCAAGCTGGCTGAGAACTCTGTGTCCTCTACTTCAAAGGGCCAGTTGTCTTATTTTGATGTGGGCAGATTAAGAAGTAGGCTTTGAAATGTAGGCTTTCTTTCTTTTCTTTCTTTCTTCCTTTTTTTTTTTTTTTTTTTTTTTGTTTAATCTTTTCTCCTGGGATAGCTTTCAGAGCAATATATCCAAGTGTCAGTGAGGGGTTCTGATGAGCACAGATTCCCAGACTCTCAGCAGGATCATTCTCTAACAGAAATATAAAAGTGAAATATTAAAAACCCTGGAACGTGAACTCCATCTGCAGAGTACCAGTGTCTTGCCTGCTTGCACCATGGGAAAAAAAGGTCTTGAAAAAAGAGGGAGGAGAAAAAAAGTGCTTTGAGTAAGAGGTTTACAGGTTTAGTAGAGCATAGTAACATCCCCTCAAAGAAGTGGGTGTTGCTCTGTGACCCCCCAAAATGCTCCTCCTTTGACTCAGCCGCCAGAACACTCACCCTCCCCTGGCAACACACCCCCTTTTCACATGCTAACTGAGGCGCCTGTGATTGGCTGAACAATAAACTGGTCACACTTGCTAAAGGCCTGCCATCTTTCACACAATTAGCCAAGACACATTAATCAAACTGGCGGGGAGCTGGGGCTGTGCTGGCCTCCTGAGGGGGGGAGGGGAGCAGTTTTGGTGATCCTTAATAAGAGCCCACAGGAAGCAATGATAAAGGACAGCATGCTAGAGGGGATTCTATCATCTAAAGGTGAAAACACCAATAGATGGGTTTGTCACACAGAGAATCCCAGAAGCTTAGAGCAAACTGAATATGGGTCTTGGCTAAAATCTGCTACTGCAAGACATTAGGGTGAATTTGAAGGGTGGACCCCTACGGACATTTTTACAAAATTCCCCTGCCCTCTTAGTTTTCCCCCTTGCCTCCAAGAAAATGCACTCAGGAGTCCCTTCCCTTTTGAGCCTCAAGCACTTTGGGTCCAACTGGAACCAATAGGAGTAAAGCATATATAAAAAGTAGAGAGTGTCCAGCTGGTGTGGCTCAGTGGTTGAGCATCGACCCATGCACCAGGAGGTCGCTGGTTCGATTCCTGGTCAGGGCACATGCCCAGGTTGTGGGCCTGATCCCCAGTGGGGGGCATACAGGAGGCGGCCAATCAATGTCCTCTCTCATGGATGTTTCTATCTCTCCCTCTCCCTTTCTCTATCTCAAAAATCAATAAAGAAACAAAGTTTTAAAAAAAGTAGAAAGCAGTTTAGAATCAATTAAGAGAAGGTATTAACTGGCAAGGTATTTGTTCTAAACTATGTATTTGGAGGACATTAAAAATAGTTAATTTTGAGAGAAAAAAATAAGTTAACATTTGTGCTTTTTTAAAAAAAAATTCTTACCCAAGGATATGTTTATTGATTTGACAGAGAGACAGAGAGAAACATCAATGTGAGCAAGAAACATTGACTGGTTGCCTCTGGCATGTGCCCCAGCCGGGGAATCATACTCACAACCTTTCAATTTATGAGCGGATGCTCCAACCAACTGAGCTGCATTGGCCAGGGAAACATTTGTGTTTTTAATAGTAATATCTTCTGGCTTTTCTTTTCCAAGTCTCTTCTAAATAGATTTCCAATGGCAATCTAGAGCTAGTAAGATCATACCTTAGAGACAAGTTTGCTACAGAATCATGTAAGGCTTTTAAAAGACTCAACTAAATATTTAGACATTTCTCAGCTAAAGTAAACAGAGGCCTTACTCCTCTGGAGGTTGCCCAGTCACCATCTCATTAGATGCAAAGATCCTGTGATAAAGAAAAACTTTTTTTCTGCCCACATGATTGCAGTCCAGTTGTGGTTTTTAATGTGTCATTGATTGTTTCATTCAACTTCTTTTGCTCCACTCAAAGGGTCTGTCGTGGCTCTGTTTGCTTCCTTAAACACGGGTTTTGAAAGCACTCATGCTGTGTGAGCTCAAATCCTAGCATTAATGTACTGCTGGGTTCATTTCACCACACTCAAAAGCGCTGAGTTTAAATCCCTCTCAATTCCATTTGGGGCACCAGAAGACTTTATCCTTCTCCACTAATGGTTCCAAGTTTACATCTAGATACTGGGGTCAAGGACAGGAGAGGATTTAGAAATAACAGTGCATGACATTAGTCAATGCATTTGCCAAATTGGCAATTAGTTCCTGATGTGCGTGCAAAGCATCTTATTCTGTC